TAATTCATTCGTTTCAGGTTATCCTACATTGGCGGTCAATAACTGTACCTGGGGGCAGTTTCAATGTGATAACCGAAGATGCATCAAGGTTACCTTCAGATGTGACAAGGATAATGACTGCGGTGATAATTCAGATGAGAAGGGGTGTGGAAATGGTAGGTTCAGATTTACCTCTATTACTGCAGTTTTCATAAAGTAAAACCAGTGTGCAGCTTGCAGACACAGAGTTCGCATGTTTATGAAAACTGCAGTAATCGGACAACTTCGAGACCTTACCTAGTCTCCTCGAGCTCCGCAGCCGTGTTTAGTGAGAATCTGGGACCGAAACTAATGAAGCATGCGGGGGAGACTTGGCCTTGCCTAGTGTCCAAATACTACCGTCATCGCTGGAATGCGACCTGCGAAGTTTGCATGATGTCTCGTTCGCAGACAAGCATTGACGACCGTCAATCAAAGAACTGCAATAAAAAATCTTTAGGGAGATTTTAGAAAGATAATCCCCTATAAAAATCTCTAATCCTTTAAAATCACGTATAATTCAGTCCAAATGTGACGCTCGTCGAAAGGCTTGTCGGCGAACAAGACATCACAGTTCGCGGGTCGCACTTCAACGATCGATAATACTATTAACAAAGCGTGTCCGATGAAGAGAAGGTAGTTTTCAAGTAAATTTAATGAAGATATTTTTGGGCCTTACAACTAGTTGTTCGTATATAATGAAGACGTTATATCGTCTGCCGAACAGCATAAGCGTTATATATAATGAACCAATCGACTCTAGCGTTATATAATGAACCAATCAACTCTAGCGTTATATAATGAACCAATCGACTCTAGCGTTATATAATGAACCAATCAACTCTAGCGTTATATAATAAACCAATCACCTCTAGCGTTATATAATGAACCAATCTACTCTAGCGTTATATGATGAACCAATCAACTCTAGCGTTATATAATGAACCAATCAACTCTAGCGTTATATAATGAACCAATCAACTCTAGCGTTATATAATGAACCAATCAACTCTTGCGTTATATGATGAACCAATCAACTCTACCGTTATATAATGAACCAATCAACTCTAGCGTTATATAATAAACCAATCAACTCTACCGTTATATAATGAACCAATCAACTCTAGCGTTATATAATGAACCAATCAACTCTAGCGTTATATCATATGCCAATCAACACTCGTGCACGTAATAACGCAATTCTATCTCTTTGTATTGTCAGTGTGCACAAACCATTACTTCAGGTGTGGGAATCGTAAATGTATCTCACGTATGCATATGTGTGATGGAGACAATGACTGCGGAGATGGTTCTGATGAAACACATTACCTTTGTGGATCAGGTATTTATATATGTTTAGTAAAGAAGAAATAATACTCAAGGGAATGACACATGGTCTTTAATGGAAAAACATTGCACTATAGTTGAAAAGCATTCCTAGTAAAGAAAGAGATAATACTCAAGGAAATGACACATGGTCTGAAATGGGAAAACATTGCACTATAGCTGAAAAGCATTCCTAGTAAAGAAAGAAATAATACTCAAGGTACACGTGGTCTAAAATGGGATAACGTTGCACCATAGCTGAAAAGTTTTATTCCATTACTCTTACCTTTAAGGGTCTGCACCGCTGACATGTATACACTGTAATGCCGCGGGCTCATCAAACTGTTCAAATGAAGTACAGTGTTCTCGTAGATACACTAGATGTGCTCGCTTTGCTTATGTGAGCAACGGCACAAACATCATCGAGTCAACTTGCGTCACCAAGTCGGACTGTACTCCTGAAGGAATCAGAAAACAGTGTCTAATAAGGGGGGTAAGTAAGCACACTTAGTAAAAGCCATGGCATGGCTAACTCACAGATTAAACCCTGAAACAACCTCTGGGCTGATCTAAGTCAGGGCATGGCTAACTCACAGATTGAACCCTGAAACAACCTCTAGGCTGATCTTAGTCATGGCATGGCTAATGGCATGATCAAATTGTAATGGAATTTAGCGTGTTATACGTTTTGAGGAGGGAGGGAGGGATTCGAGAACGACCCTCAAATCATACAAAACACCTAACAAGTTGTGCCCACATGCGTGTTTCCGAGTCCACGAATAAAAACCAGAGACGCCAGAGGTGAAAGGAGAGTGCAATACTGGCTTCGGATTCGGTATACTGGTCTGTTTGTTTATTTTGTTATTTGTTCTTAGGGTGAGTGTAAAATGCAATGCTGTAAAAGAAACAGATGCAATAAAGCAGAATCRTTTGACAACAGTATTTGTAAGTCACTCCATCCTATTATTTTGCGGTTTCGAGCCACTAAAAATACACCCAATCCTCAATGCCTGTTGGAAAGGGAAAATAAAATACACCCAATCCTCAATGCCTGATGAGAATGGAAAATAAAATACATTCAATTCTCAATGCCTGATGGGAAGGGAAAATAGAATACACCCAGTCCCCAATGCCTGATGAGAATGGAAAATAAAATACACCCAAACCGCAATGCCTTACGAGAATGGAAAATAAAATACACCCAATCCGCAATGTCTGATGGGAATGGAAAATAAAATAAACCCAGTCCGCAATGTCTGATGGGAATGGATAATAAAATACACCCAGTCCGCAATGTCTGATGGGAATGGATAATAAAATACACCCAGTCTGCAATGTCTGATGGGAATGGAAAATAAAATACACCCAGTCCTCAATGCCTGATTGGAATGGAAAATAGAATACAACCAATTCTCAATGCCTGATGGGAAGGGAAAATAGAATACACCCAGTCCTCAATGATGAGAATGGAAAATAATGATTGGCTGTAATTTTAAGCCACAATCGACTTTTAATGCGAATGAATCTAAGCACCAAACACAACGATAGCAACGATCAATAATTGTCTACATTTTCTATTTTGTTTTCGCCACAGGGAGCCCACACTTAACTTGCTATCAATGCAATATCCATAACTGGCAAAGCTGCAATACTAAGGTCACGTGCCCAGGAAACGAAGGRTATGACAGATGTTTTMGGATGTCGTACACTCGTATCGAGTCTGGGAAAGAGTATCCTGTTATGAGGACAGGATGTGCSACTCAAAGTAACTGTACTGGAGCAAACAGCTTATGCTCAGGTCATGATGGGGTAAGATATAACATTAATGGAGATGATGATGATTCATGATGGTGTTGATAACAAGGGTGGATCCAGGGGGGCAGAAGAGCTGACTCAAGAAATATTCTATATCATATGACGATACATGATGATGATGACGATACATGATGATGACGACGATACATGATGATGATGGCGATGCTGATTGTAATAATGGTGATGATAAATGAAGTTGTCTTAATTTACATTTTTTTCTAACAGTCCAATTGCAAACTCGAATGTTGTCATAACTCGAGCTGCAACGTTCCGAAAATCGATGAAACATCATGTAAGTAAAAACTAAATGTTACGAAATGAATCATAAGTTTCTTATGTTGTTGATGACGGGAACAATGATGATGGTGATGATGACGATGATGTTGGTGCTGATGATGATAACGATGGTGATGATGATGGTGATTCATGATGGTGGTGAAGTTGATGATAATGATGATGGTAATGATGGTAGTGATGATAATGATTATTGCTGATAGTGATGATTGATGAGGTGATGATGGTGATTATTGATGGTGATGATGATGATATATATAATGGTGATGATGGTCTCACTCATTTTACATCGAAATATAACACTCACCTCGTTTCCCTTTTCTATTTCTTCCTTCACCTCAATTTCTCTTTCAGCTAAGTCCAACATCAAGTGCTACAAATGCTCCTCTAAGAGGTCTCTCCAAGACTGCAAAGACAGAAAAATTTTACAAACTTGCAGCGATAATGAAGATCGTTGCTATGATGCACAGGTTATCACGGACCACAAGAACGATGAAGGAGTTCCACGCATGTTCTATAAGGGGTGTACGCTGGCCAATAAATGCAATAGCACGACTCTTGATGTCTGTAAACGTCACTTCAAGTCAACTAGTTGCACTGTTAAATGCTGCACTGGAGATGGATGTAATGCAGGCTCATCTCTTCTGGTCAGCAGATTTGTTCTCATGGCATGCGTGTCGATTTATGTATATTATTTATGTATTGGGCTATCTGTGTAAACAACCGAAGGAAGGATTTTTTCTTTATTTTACAACCAATTAATTTTTAAAGATATCATCAAAAAGAGAGAAAATAAGTGAGCTTCGCTTTAAAACATTGACATTTTTCCCCCGAAGGCTAAATTTTTTTATTAGGGTGCTATCCATTAAATCGAACCGATCGGTCCGAGTGGCCGGTTCACAAATGAAACGCCTCAGGTCTCAGAACTAGATCGACGCGGCCCAAACTAGTTCAGAGAAATGACTCGTACGTACTATTTGGGAACTCGACGCAATGGAAACTGCCCTGTGTGTTGGTTGATTTTATAATGATAATAATAAATATTTATATAGCGCCTATCCAAATCTGCTTTAGGCGCTTTAAACAAAAAGAAAAACCACAAATTGTGGTAGGCTGTGAGCTTTGCTTGGCGTCTGCCGCTACACAACCCATACCACAGGAAAAAATATAAAATAATTAAACACACACACACGACGATAACCACGAAAAAGGTCAGACTGTCGTATCGGGTAACAATCCCCTACTCTTACGAAAAATACAACAGGATCTTTTACGTCCACTACTTTATCGGGGGTTAAGTGCAAGCAGACGGGACCTCCGATTTTACGTCCTTATCCGAGAAGACGCTTGCTTGATGGCTGTCGGCTACTATGAGGTCCTCCACCCTTTGACAGGTCTTATTTTTAATCCTGCTGGGTGTCAAGCCACCCTCCTTACTGGATAGCCAGTGGGGGAGCCGGTTTAGAAGCCGATGACCCGTCCATGTGGTAGGTAGTACTGGGTTACATGGTACCGTTAGCAAGTTCGAAAACCTGACCTGAAAGAGGGAGGATTGTTTTGCTTACTCACCAGCGAACAACAGAGCTTTCGACATCCATCAAGGAGTCTTTGTCAATGCTGTGAGTTCTGGCGCGCAGCCTCGTTCTCAGAACTAAACTGCATGTGCCATAGATTGGTGGAACTTAGATAGCCACGGTCCTGGTTCATTTCCTGCTTCCTCAGATCCGTTCTCATGATCAGTGTGCAAAAGAAAGGCTTTCCTTCTGCAAAGGTTATGGAGACCAACCAATATATGATTGTAATGTTCATTGCTGTGCTGGAGATATGTGTGTAACCCAGGCTCGAGCTTAAGAGTCAGCGGTAGGGTGTTAATTGTGCTCTCAGCATGCGCAGTCGTACTTGCTCTGTTGCTTTAATATCGTTTCTTATTTGATTTCTGCCTCATTTCGGGATAGTTGTATATTAATAGTTTGCTTGCCAAATACATATGATTTACAAAAACCACATCACCCCCTACCCCCTCAGATAAATAAAATGTCATCTCATCTTTATAACTGTCATGTCTTACCACATGTTACGTGCCGTTGCTATAGCGACAGAAGGTTTGCCTTGGTGTTATTGGATAACCTCGTCTTGGTACTTCCAGCCGAGGTCTTCAGTGCTTCATAATTCTTGGAAAAGAGTCTTGAAAAGGTTCTACTAAGATGGCTAAAACAGGGTTTATCTTTYTGCTTCTACTTGCRGCTTCGTYCTTTGGTAAGKCCACAACYTYTYTTAAGCAATTACTTTCGTCGTACGCGTTTTTGGTTCGTCTTGTGCGAGAATGTTGAACAAGGAAGCCTTCGGAACTAGCATTTCCATTGCTGTTCTTCTTCCCGACGTGTAGCTGCAAGATATAACAGAATAAAACACGATAATAAACAATTAAAAACAATAAATTTCATCATGGAATCAGGCTTTTTGCAATACGTTGTTGGTATTTTACCGTAAGATACCTAGCGGGCATATTATTAGTTGACATTGTCAATGCTAAAGATATGCCTTCTTTGTAACTCTGTCTTTCGAATCGCATTTGGGTTTATCATTGACAACGTGCAACAGCAAAAATATATGTTTTAAAATCATTTTAGTCTATCGTTAAACTTTTGAATGTCGTTATTTTTAAAAGAATCATGATAAGTTCATGATACTCCAGGTTACAGCAAACGAATTTTCTAGGAGACAATGGAATACATGTTAAAAGATCAGACTTGATGCGTCTATATAGTTCATAATTATGGTTCATGGTATTCAACAAAACATTTCTCATCAGCATTCATTGTTAACAGCAACATAATGGCCGCCATGTCTTTGTCAATTGACTCTCTTGGGAATGCAGCAGCCCCTCAATACTTTGAGCGAGTTTTTTATCAGAATTCCGCATTGACGAACTATCGTAGTCCTAACCTATTACCCAGGAAAGTATAGTCAACGTATTACGTAGAAGTAGACACTAATTCTGCCATACTTTGACTGTTTATATTCACTAATCATACAACTTTGCTTCACGGGCAAAGTAAAATCAATCTATCATCTGTGCTTCTACAGCTCAACGTACTCTTATTCATTATCATAATACTATATAGCCAAAACGTCAATTAATGTTTTATATTACACTTGTATTTTCGACTTAAAAACTCATGATAATAATTARTATAAAATCGCCAACCCGAAAGCCTCTAAAGTATATTATTGATAGTGTAGTTTGAAAACAGTCAAGGAGTCAAGGATATTGACATCCAGACTAGTCTAATCCATCGGTATTAACTTCCGCATTTTTCGAGTGGGGCATCGATTGACGGCGCTGACATATAAATATAAGCTTAATTTTGCAAAGCTAATCATTTTTGTTCTTTATGAAATTGTGATGAATATTTTGTTAACGTACACCAACATGGCGGCGATGACGTCATAACTGAATGATTCAAATGTAAAAAGACATGGCGGCCATGTTGGTGTACATAACAAGAGAAGCTAACGAGAAATCTTTTGTTAACGTACACCAACATGGCGGCGATGACGTGGAAACGAACTGAATAATTAAATAATAATAACAAAGACATGGCGATGTAAGAATGCTAACGATAATTAAAAAAATAAGTAAAAATGAAAAAATAAGGATGATGATGATCATGGTAATAATGATTATGATGATTATGGTGATGGCGATGGTGGTGGTGATAATGATTTTGATGATGATGGTGATGGCGATGGTGGTGGTGATAAGGATTTTGATGATTATGAAGATTATGATGATGATGATGATGATGATGATGATAATGACGATGATGATATGATTATGATGGTGATGATGGTGATGGTGATGGTGATGATAATGACGATGAAGATATGATTATGATGGTGGTGATGGTGATAATGATGATGATGATGATTGATTACGCTTATTACAGAGTTGGCAACAGCCACCAACACTTGTACTTGGGGATTCTATATGTGTGCTAGTAACTCCCAGTGCATATCAAGTAGAAACAAATGTGACGGTACAACCCAGTGTACTTATGGAGAAGATGAAAGAAACTGCCCGACAAGTAAGTAATGAGATAATAAATAATACTAATGATATCATGGATTATTTTATAGTTAGGATAGTACGATTGGTCAAAAACTGTGATTTATTAGTTAACGAAGCACAGTGCTCACGCCATTCGCGCGCGAAGTGCTGTTAGATCCTGCGAGCTTCTTTCTTTTCGCATAAATAAATTCAAAAACGAAAAATAAATTAGTAGTTATATTATAAAACGAATAAAACAGCTTTTTGGAAATTACAAAACCTACCGCGACTGTAGGAGTTCCTTATGCAACGGCAACCTCACTTTTCTAAATAACGATAAAATCATAATCGTATCATAAAGTATCAGGTTATTAATAGTTTACTCTTTTTAAGGGTGTTATGGAAGTAACTTCAGGTGCAGCAATAATAACTGCATATCAAGGAGTTCCTTATGCAACGGTGTCAATAACTGCGGTGACGGGTCCGATGAATCCACCGCTCTTTGCGGTGGTGCAGGTAAATACTTTGTCTTCATTTCAGACATAGAGGCTTTGCGTCACCACGTGATGTTAGCCATGACAGAAGGTAGGAACGCCCTATAACACTATGACGTCGTCATCATGGTCGCAAGAGGGGACAGAATAGCAGCAAAACGAATTAAATCACGATAAAAAATGGTTAATTAGACATGAGAAAGGTGATAACAGATAAATGTCGTACTAAATATCCCGAACGAAGGAAAACAAGCAGTGACGTCATAATGTTATAGGTCAATAAGCGTGAAGCGAGATGACGTTTTACCCCCGACTCTATACCATAATAGTTTTTAAAATTCTTTATTATTAAAATTTTTGATTCCTGAGAGAATACAGGAACAATAGTCATAATTAAAGAACAAAAGCAGTGTGAAAAGGATTATGGTCTAGAGACGAGGGTAAAACGTCATCTCGCTTCACGCTTATAGAGTTTTGTCTATTATGATTTAAAGGAGAAAGAATTCAGTTTCCAAGAGGATTGAGACTCTATTGTTGTGCCTCCTGTCATGGCTGCCATCACTTTATTTATTATGAATAATGTTCTTATGATGACAATCAATTATGATGATGATTATTTTAATAATATAACACATTGTCTATAATGCACGTTGTCTATCGTACTTACATACAGCATTCCAAGTGAGGCTGGTGGGAGGAAGATCGTCAAACGAAGGACGAGTGGAGGTTTACTATCCCCCAACACGTACATGGGGTACAGTCTGTGATGACAATTGGGATTTAAACGATGCCAAGGTCGTTTGTCGTCAACTTGGTTTGCCCCGCGCTACACAGGCTGTAATTGGGGCACGTTTTGGTCAAGGAACAGGCCCTATTCTGCTCGACGAGGTACAATGTACAGGCTCAGAGTTAACATTGTCAAGATGTTCATCTGGAGGATGGAAAAACCATAACTGTGGTCATAGTGAAGATGCTGGTGTTATATGTGGCGGTATGTACTAAGCGTACTTTAAAAAATACAAATGCCTTTCTTATTGTATTTTACTTTCATACCAATACTCATGTTATGTTTTTTCTTCTATTATAGCAAGTCTGCCTTTACCAACAAGTAAGTAATAGTGTAACTGTGTCCTGACCGCTTGTCACGTGACCAAACCCTGAGTTAGAGAGTTAGAATAATTTGGGTGACTGTTACAAAGGTTTTACCAGGAATTTGAGCAAAAGGGCGGTGACTGTTACTAACGATATACTGAGAAATTTGAGCAAAAGGGGGAGGGATGACCCAGTCACCTACATAACCACCCGCCGGATATGCCCATGGACCATTGTACCATGGTTTTTCAATGTCAACCATGGTCATACAAATTTTGACTGTACGGTCTAACCATAGTGGCTGACCATGATCAATAATAATGATGACCATGGTATACAGTCAACCATGGTACACAGTCAACCATGGTACACAGTCAACCATGGTCAAAGTATAATAACATACAATGACCATGGTACACAGTCAACTATGGTCAAGCTAGGTATAACCATGATACACTGTCAATATTCAAGGAACATAAAACATACATCCAAATCAATTTCCAAATATTTCTTAGTCCCCAATAGTTTGATCCCGACATGTGATGACTGTCGTTGAGGAGTGTTTATTACTTTCTGACATTCATGTCGATACTCATGTTATGATTTTATTTTTTTCTTGTAGGACGTCCAACAGGTAATTCATACTGAGTCACCGAATACTTTAAAGTTTATATCAAGGATAAAATGTTATTTTCAAAATCACATATATGAGATTAGTGTAGTAGTATGGTTGCAGTATTTTTGTATGTCAAATTTTCTTTTAGGAGATATAAACATTTGAAATATCGATATGCAAATGAGATGACGTAAACCATGATACACAATCAACCATGATACACAGTCAAGTCAGTCACAGTACCTCTCTTGTCATCAGTGTGCATCATCCTCATGTTTCATAATGTATTATCATCATGTATCATCATCATGTGTCACCATCGTGTGTCACCATCATGTATCATCATCATGTATCATCATCATGTATCACCATCATGTATCATCATCATGTATCATCATCATGTGTCACCATCATGTGTCACCATCATGTGTCACCATCATGTGTCACCATCATGTGTCACCATCTTGTATCATCATTATCATCGAAATCATGTATCATCATCTCCATCATCATTATTTATTACACACGCGTTATAAAGCCGTGAATAAAAACCATATCAGTGAAGTGATACCATATCACTTCACGATAAACTGGAAACAGCAAATTTTGTTATTTTATCAAACTTAAATATGTAATAAGCAAATTACATGTTAAGAGCTTCATATCTTTTTTATTCACTCGTTTTTCATATCATATCGCTCACTCGCTAGTTCGTGATATGAAAACTCGTGAATAAAAACGATATCAGGCTCTTAACATGTGATAATCTCTATGTATCATATCAACATTTCTGTCATAATTATCGTACTATCATTGTACCTTCATCATCACATCAAAATATGGTATGTAATTCATTGTTAACATTTGGATAATATCAATTTATAGTGAATACAGGACTAAACACCTGCTCCTGGGGAAACTTCTATTGCTCATACGGTTCTCGGTGTGTGTCAAGTCAATGGAGATGTGATGGCAAAAGTGACTGTTCCAACGGAGAAGACGAACGAGGCTGTCGCACATGTATAAAACTTTATCCTTTTATTATTATCGCTTAGTTATCAAAGTCTTGCCATCATCATMATCATCATCATCATCACTATCATCAMTATCATCATTATCATCTCATTATTTTCAAAAGCCATAGTGGATAACTCGAAAAAAAAAAAAAAAAATAACAAGTAGGWTTCATCCAAGTGCCCCTGTAAGTTTAATTCCTTTGTTCTTATTCTATGTTGTGATTGGTTAAATGTCTTTAAGTGACAAGTGCTGCTTTACTTTGGTTTTTCAGTTTGTCCCGACCGCACGGGTAATTTCAGGTGCAACAACTACAAGTGCATTACAAGGAGTTATGTTTGCGATGGTGATAATGACTGTGGTGACTATTCTGATGAATCGAATTACCTATGCGGATCACGAAGTAAGTAGTGAAGTAATAGGAACTTTAAGCTGCAGGACGGCAACGACGACGACGACGGCAACCATACAATATCACTAATTGTGCATTCAATAGATACTCGTTGAAATGTACGAAACACGTTGAACGTACGAAGCTTTTTTTAAAACTTCAATTTTCCGAATTGAAATTTAATACTGATTCCAAATCTGGAAAGAAAAATAGGGTGTCCCGAGCTTGTTTTCGAGATAATCAGCATTAAATGGAAGCCTACGCGCCACCGGAAGTGATTAGAAAAATAATAAGATCCATAAGATCATAGTTATTTCTAGACTATATGATTGCACGAATGAAGGCTAGTCAATCATTCTACAATAATACGTGGTTATTTTCAACAAAAAGACAAAAAGATAAATTAATTTCTTACATTTTGTAGTTTTGGTGCTCTTAAAAATTTCATAAAGTCGAACAAAAATCCCTACAAAAATCTATTTTTTCATGTGTTGCTGATTTAAACTTTTTCTAAAATGTTGATATAACATAGATTTTTGAGAGTTTTTTCGAATGAGCTTTTAAAAAATATAGAGTCCCGTGCAAAATTTGAGGGTTTTGCCCTGTTGAAGCTCAAAACGCGTATGGTTCTTCAATAAAATATTGTAGATTTTTCAGCGGTTTTTGAGCGCGCKCTCATCGTGGGCTCAATTCGAACGTTCAAAAGTAGGCAGCCACCTTAAGTGCTTCAATTTCGCAGCGTTGTCGCCCACGTTGCCGTCCTGCAGCTTAAGGTCCCTAATATGTCAAGCAGTACACACAACAGAATGCTTCATCCAAATTTACAAACACCGAGAAGAGTGTTAAAAAAAACGCGTTTTTTTAAAGCCAACTTCCAGGTGTTTCTATTGACTGTATCAACCTACGTCACTCACTACATACAAAGTTACAAATGTAAAACTATAGCTATTTAAAGTTAATATCCCAGCCGTCCTGAATGTCGTGACGCAACGCTCCCTTATCAGTAGTGAGGAAGCGTTGCGTGACGAAACTAAGAAAAGCTGTGGGGGAGACTAAAAAAACTTTTGAATTTCATTGTTCCTGTATAGGTACTAGTGCATTACGATGTTACAGCTGCAGCAGTGTATCATCAAGTAGGTGCTCCACTACAAGGAGCTGCTCATCTGGTCAAAGGTACTGCTACAGGAAAACCTATGACACGACTTTTGCGAGCTCAACAAGTCGCGTTACAGATGCTGGATGCCGATCAAGTTGTACTTCGTCTTATAGAGAGAGTGCTTGTAGAAACCAAGTAAGTAAATGGTCCGAAGATAAGCTTTTGAAAGCATTATTATTTCATTGAAGTTTCTAGAATTTATTTAATGCGAGTCTTTTGCTCATTGTACATGAATTCAGGGGTTCCAGAACCCCATGTACAACTCGTCGTTTTCCCTTTTTTTGACATTCGATATATTACAGACAATCATTCCACTATGATATTAACTACTGCATTATCCGTGATCAGCGACTGTCTATTTCTACAAACAGCTTTATTTGTTGCCAATATACCTTATTCGTTGTGTGACAATGTTTTCCCAATTCAGCGTGACAAACCTCTGGGGGAATGAAGAGCTATTGTTCTGAAACTCGTCGGGATATCATCGTTGTTCCTTTCGTATCCTTTGGGATACTCATGAATTTTTCAAAGAATCAGAAAACAAAAGAAAATGAATCCCCTGGAGGTTCGTCACGCTGAATTGGGGAAACATTGTCACACCACGAATAAGGTCTATTAGCCGGCTAATTATAAGTTTCATAAAATGAAATGATTATGATAATGATTATAATTATAAGGGTCATTTTTTTGTCGAAAAATGCCTTTAATATTTCAAGTGCAGCCGTTTATATCAAACTATATTTGTTGGATATAATTTTTTTCATTGTTGTTGTTTTAAAGAGAAACTGTCAGATGACATGCTGCAGTACTTCCTCGTGCAACAGCGACTCAAGTGGTGGAACAAGCTCTCGTAAGTTTTTAATCTTCAGTCAGTCGGTCAGTCAGTCAGTCGGTCGGTCGGTCGGTCGGTCGGTCGGTCGGTCGGTCGGTCGGTCGGTCGGTCGGTCTGCCTGTCCAGCGTTCTCTGAAACAATCACAGCTAGCGAGTTTATTACTCAGCCATTGACACGAGTCAAACATCGCTCTAACCCTTGTGAACATTTTATCCTATTCTAGCCTATCCCAGTTGCTACACTTGTGTGTCGACTTCATCGTACCAAGAATGCCAAAACAAAGCCACTTTAACTAGATGTAGTTCTACCACWTCCTCTTGTTACAAAATGGACTACAAGATGTCCTCGTCATATGGCAACCTTAGTCATTACGGTAAAGGCTGCACATATGAATCAAGTTCCTGCAGCCAAATGCGATCCACGTATTGCAACAGTCGAGTAACGGATACGTGCAATGTTTACTGCTGTTCTGGTTCCGGCTGTAATGCAGGCTCAGCTCAGCGGTTCAGCGTTGTGGCACTCATGACATGCGCTATTGCGTTTTTCATTTCTCAAAATGTCCGTTTCTTGCCGTGAGATACCCAGCTGTAAAGATCAGCTATTATCGTCTTAAGATAGCGAACTATCGCCTTTGATCCGACAAAGTTTAAAGAAAAGGTGTATCTTCAGATTGTGCCTTGTTCTAGTGTTCAGTATGAAGCGGGTTTTGGTCTTTGTAGTGTTTCGACAACAATGCGATATGCTGGCTCCTTTTTAGAAAAATTCATAACTTTGTTTTTAGATAGTTTATTATATGGTTATAGTGGGCTAGTGATATATATTTGATTGTCAATAATATTTTAGCAATATTAGCCACAACTTAAACCAACATCTGTTTTATTCAAAACCTAGCCCCACGTAGTGACCTTATCTAACCACAAAATGCATATAGGAGATCAGATTCATATATATATAGACGAACCTAGACAGTTGTTACACACACTGAATTGACTTAAGGAGAAGGCCGAGTCTAGGGCTGTGCAAAACCTAGCCCCACGTAGTGACCTTTCCTAGCCAGAAAATGTAAATAGGAGATCAGATTTATATATATATAAACGAACCCAGACAGCTCTGACACACGCTAAATCGACTTAGAAGGCCGAGACTAAGGCTGTAGCTGTAGTTGAACTTGAAATTCATGGCCCTAAGTTAGGACGAATGGCCTAATAACGAAATCCTTCTAAAACCACACCTACTAAAGGAACGTCTTTCTAGACAGCTTCAGTACACCTTACGCTCGTAGCAAACCTCTCGTATTTGTAAAGTTAACTAGTCTCCTTAAGAACAAGTCGAATAAAGAAAGGTACTCCAGGCGATCCCGGAGCTATTTCAGCCTAACTCCAACATTTTCGTAGCTTTGATTCGACCAGATTCCCAGTCTCAGTTCAGTATTGAGCTGGAATAGACCTCTATAGCCTGGGCGCAACGTTTTCCCATTCAAACCACATGTAATCATATATCATATATATAACTTATTCAACGAGGGTGGCAAATATTATATTACTAGTAGCCTAGTATAGAGTAGAACTTTATTGTGACCTCTGATTTGTTCCTCTTTAATTGTTAAATATTTTGAAGATTACGA